TTGGTCAAAAATGACCTTATAAAGGATTTTCAACAAAAAATTGGATGCCAATTTGAGGTCTAAGGCATTCAATTGTTGAGATTTGGGGTGTTAGCCAATATTGGGGCTAATTTGGGGGTTTTGTCAAAGATGATCAAATTGATCAAATTGGACCCAGGTGTAGTTGGACAAAATAAAATTGGGAATATTTTGGATTTATTGGAATTTTTTAGGAATTTTTGGAATTTTTGGGTTTTTGGGTCATGGAGGGGTATCTTGGTAATTTGGTCATTTTTGGAAATTTTTGTCAATTTTGGCAAATTTGGATGTATCCAAGGTGTTTGAAATAAGTTTTGATTAATTTTGGGTATTTTGGTAAAATCTAAGAATTTTGGCCAAATTTGGGTCCCAAGTGTAGTGAGGCAAATTGGAGGTGCCTAGGGGTAAAAGGCCCAAGTTAGGCATTTCAAGTAGAATTGGATAAATATTCATTCTAAATGAATCATAAACCAATGTATTGTGAAGATGTGTACCCTAGTTCCAAGTCAACACCCAGGGTCAATCCTAAGGCCAAGTAGCCCTATGGGAACTTTTCTTGAGCTTCCCTCATAATGATCTTACCTACTAAATGCTAGAGGTTAAGGTCAATATGTGGAATTTCAAATTGAGTAAAGAGAAGAGTTTTAAATTTCTAATGGTAAGAGTACCTTTTCTAGTTTTCTAAGACTAGTCAATAGAAAAGTCCTATGACTAGACCTAGGCTACTAAAGAAGTTTTAGACCTCAACCAAAACTGAGGTCAACAGGGGGACTCCCCTTAAGCTCTTCCATATTGACCTCACTTACTAAGTGCTAGAGGTTATGACCAACAAGTGGAACTTCAAGTTGAGTAAAGAAGAATTTAGAATTTATAATGGTGAGCGTTCCTTTTCTAATCCTCTAGGAATAATCAACAGGAAAGTCTTATGGCTAGACCCTAGGCTACTAAAGAGAAAAAACTAGACCTCAACCAAAAATAAGGTCAACAATGTGCTTGATATGCACGATAATATATTAGGGTGTTCTTTTGCAGGGAGCGTACCTATATATATGCACGCATACAAATGTCATGAAGTGGAAGCACGTAATGATTTCTAAAAATTTTCTTGTAGGTTATATTTAGCTCCCCTGATTAAAAGACGTGGCTCATTATATGTTGCTTGTCTATTTCATTTTCCGATAACGTTGTTTTCATGCAGTTCAAGTTTTTTTTATCTTTTAAATTTACTTGATAGAGTCCCTAGGTTGTGTCTGTATCAAAAATAAGGTACGAACACGGGCTTTGAGGTGAACGGCGCATTAAATCACATGGCGGGGATTAAGAACAGCAGCTCGTGTCCCATACCATAAGTTTTAATTCTATATTTTTTTATAGATCTAGGATCGGGCATGTATATGCGGAGTTCGACCTCCTTTCCTGGAATATGTTGTCAACCCAATGACACTGGCCTCTTTTATATTTTGGAGTACTTTTACTTTTAATGAAGTGTTTCCATGCTTGAATTCTCTTTCTTGTTTCTTTCTGGTTTATTTGAGATGCCATGAAACTTGAAATTTAGGCTCTCTAAATTCTTAAAATTGTAAATTTTTCTAGATAAAAATCATAATAAAAATTTCATGATAAATTAAAATTTAGTATTAAAAGATTTGAGATTTTTTTTTAATTTGTCTTTTACTTTCTTGCATGGTCTTCGGGTTGATTTTGAAACGGGTTGCATTGCATAGACATAACCCAAGTCATATAATATGGCCTCCACGATATTCAAGGAACCTTATAGATAATTGCATCATTTGCATGTCCTTAAGAGAAGCCCCCGTGCTTCTCCAACCTGATTGGCTTAGTATAAATTTCTACTTGGGTGGTTATTTAGTATCCTTAAGTAGTTAGAAGGCTCCTCGACTCAGACAGGGTGTAAGTCCTTTTGTTGGGAGCATTTCTAATCCTGCAATTAAACCTTCCTTTCTCCTCTTTTCCAGCGGCATCCTCTCCATTTTGACGGGTATAAGTCTCATCTCTTTGAGCTCCACCTAATAGTCATAAAATAGAGTTTCCTTCCTTTGACCTAAGGGATACCGAGGTTCTTGTGGACGATGCAATTCATAGATTGTTGACCGCGGATCTCTGGACTCGTTGGGTCGACTACCTTTATGAACAGTAGACTTAGGGTATATTAGTTTGGGATGACGGGTCCGTGGGACCCTAAACCGGCTACCTCTACCTTCTAGGGATTACTCCTATTCCTTTGACTACCTCTGTTGAGCCCTGTCGCTTCTTTTGCCTTCGACGGTATCATCTCGATGGCCTGATTTTCAATGAGTTGTTACCTATTTAGGATACCATGATTTTTCCACTGCCCTTATGTATCGAATGTGCTTAAATGTATCGGGAATCCTCGTTAGGATGATTTGGTTGTTTCGCAAGCTTCGTGTGTCGATCAACCCATTACCCACGTAGGCATCGTGAGAGACTCACTCACCTCCCTGTGGCTTAGCGGGAGATTTAAAAGCATTGGAGCATTCTCCGTACGAGATAATCTTCCTTTAATAGCCATGTGCTAGTCGTCACTATTAATGTATCATTTGGATTAAGAGTATTTTTGGGCAACCCCCATAATGTAATTAAACAAGTGAGATACGTTCCCTTTGAAGCACTCTAAACCCCAGAATAGGCAAACACATTTGAAACTCTGGATTTGGGTAGTCTACGTAGGTATTCTTTTGTGAATACTAGTTCAAGGTGCTTTAGCTCGATCTTGTTTGGGCGAACATACTTGACCAATTATTGCGATTTTTATTGCACGTAGACTCTCCACATTCTTTTTCTTGTTTGTTATTTTTGTCGTATGTATGCATTTTCCAGTTCTTCTCTTCTTCTGATCATTCATATTATTCTAAAGAGATTTATTCGGAAAAGAGAAGTATATGACGATGGGCAAACCAGCGAGTCCTTTAAAAATAAAAATAAAAAGAAAAATAGAACAAAAACACTCTCTTCTCTTTTCACCACAGTGGCTTTCTCTTGCTCTTCCTACCTACATAAGGTCATAGTATTAGAGTTTACTTCTCTGGGCCTTTGGGCTACCGAGGTCCTCTTGGATGACGCATTTCATGGATTTCTGACAAGGAGGTCTCCGGTTTTGTTGAGTTGACCTTCTTCACGATCAAGTAGACTTGAGGTCCTAATAGCTTGGGATGACAAATTTATGGTATTGTGACTCGGCTATCTCTATTTGATTAGGATTACTCTACCTTCCTTTGTTATACCCTCTTTTGAGCCCTATCAGTTCTTTTAATGCTTATTTGATGTCGTCTCATAGACCCCGATTGTGGATAGGTCGCTGTCCATTTACAATACGGTGATTCGCCCTCTATCTTTATGGCCCGGTTAGCTTTAGAAGCATAATGCAGGCCCTACGAGTCGATTAGTTTAGTTAACGAGATTCATGTGTCGATGAGCCACCACCCATTTGGGATATGAGAGATTCAATGTCTGCTATGTGGCTTAACGAGAGTTTTGAAAGCCACGAGATGTTTATATGAGGTAACTTTCTTTTGTGATACCTTATACCAGTTGTCACCTAAATGAAAGCAGAACTTCTCTAATCAAGAATATTCTTGGGTGTTTCCCAATATGTAATTAACCAAAGAATATTCTAGGAAAAAATATTTTTTTGGTTCTTTGGTTACTTGAGTAGCTTATGTGGGTATTCTTCCGTGATATTTGGTTCAAGTTGTTTCAATCTTATTTTGTTCGGATGTATACCCTTGACCTATTGCACAAAGTTTACCCTGCATGAGCTCTCCAAGTTCTTTTCATTTTGTCTGCCTTGTCTCCGTCTTAATTCTTTCTTTTTCGATCCCTCATCTACTCTGAATCATTCATAGGATTTAAGTGAGAGGGTCTATTGGAAAAGTGAATCATAAGACAGGCTAGGGACTCCGAGTTACAAAAAGAACCAAAACATATACTGCACATTCAAATTATTTAGACAATTAGACTACCATGAAGTAGTGCGTGAAATAGTATGAACTTCAGTATGAATTTAACAACATTTTTTTATCAATAAAATATCATAAATAAATTTGCAAGGATATACGAACATTAAAAAAAAAAAACATACACTTTAGTTTAGTTTATATATATATATATATATATATATGCAAACACAACCTCATTTATATGCACTCAAATTAATGGGATTTGATCAAAGTGAAAAATACATTTTAGAGTTAATTGTAAATATTGATATTTGGGTGAAATATTAAAAAATAAATGCAAAGTTAAATGACCGAAGTCATCTAAGAAAACAGAGTTAATTGTAAATATTGATATTTGGGTGAAATACTAAAAAATAAATGCAAACTAGTTTTGTAAAAAACAATTTTTGTCATCTTTTTAATTGCCCCTAAAATAAATATTCACAATGTTAGAAATGATGTTAGACATTAAAGCAAAATTGTGAAGAACAGCTCTAAGTCGGTACCAACCGAACCCAGCCATCCATATAGCTTTGCAAATAGGCCAGTGTAGCATTTGGGGCTGCTAGGGTTTCTTCTTCGTTGCAGAGAGGTTTTGAAGGAGTTCTTGGTAGCCGGTAGAAGCGATGTCGGGGAAGGAGGAAGCGCGTATCTTCGTAGGGGGATTGTCATGGAATACCACGGAACGGCAACTTGATGCTACGTTTAGTCGATTCGGCAAGGTGCTGGATGTGCAGGTAATGGCCAACAATTTTTTTGCACTATGAGTTTGTTCATCGATATATGGAGTTACATAACTGTTATCTTGGAGTTTCAGAATCTTATAGGCTGAAGAGCGTGGAAAGTGTTAGGTTTGTTTTAGTTCTTGGGGCTGTTTTTGTTTTCATTGGGTGTTATTTTCATGACGATTAAGAATCGTTCAAACACATTTGGAGTTTCTTACTTTATATATAGGGAGATATAAAATGATTTATCATTTCCTCTTTTTTTTTTTCACTTTGTTGCGGTAGAAATTTGATACTCTTTTGGTTGGAAGCTGGATTTAGAGAAGCTGAATTTGATAAAACTTATTCATATAGGATTTAATAAGATTTAGTATATCAGAATGGGATTTGATTGGTCAATTCCTAAAAAACCAATTAAACATCCAGAATGTTTGGTTGCAGATTTGAAGATTCCGGGATTTAAAGTGTTTGGTAAATCCTGCTAAAGTTAATCTATTAAATATTTTCTTATTGATTTTTTTTTAATAAGAAAAAAGTATCATGATATCTATTTAAAAGAGGGAGGAATTATTTAATCCCGTGAATGATGGGATTAAACTGAAAACAGAGTTGAATAAAATTTGTTGAAATAATAGAATTTATAGTCTATAGCTCTTCCATTGCTTGCTTGTTGTTGCATTTGAATTTACCGCTGACTACTGTTGTGAATTTGATGATAATTCATATATTTGAGATTAGGGTTTTGATTAAGTCATTTGAAGCCGCTCATTTTTATGGAATTGGAGTTGGCCTTTTTGATGAGAAGGCGGCTAACTTCTTAAAGATGATTTGATGGACATAGCTACCTAAGGCGATTTAGATTTGTCTTCATCGAAAAGCGAATATATCAAATTATTTGTTTGATAGCCATTTTCAAAGTTCCTAGACAAATGTGTTGAAGTTATTGATGTCTTCAATAATGTTCAAGTGGCTGTTCTTGTTAATGGTTAATTTTTTGCCTCTTGTTATGAATTAGTGTTTACAACGGCGAGTTTATGACAGTTTCAGTACTGAATTTGTTATATGTGATGTTGTTGGGATTGATATACATATTGGAGGTTGTTCTTGTTACCAATTTACTATCATCAGGTAGCATATCTTATGTAGGGCACAGGTCTTATGAACCTTGCTTATGACAGTAGAAACTGGAAATTAATTTTTGGCAATTTAAACTTCACACAATTCTCATGCATTTGCATATCTCACACCCAAACATTCATATTTATACAAGCAACACTTTGGAACTTTAAACCGCCGCATGAAACCGTATGTTTCACTTTTAAAAAGTGTTAATAGTGCTATTTTTTATATGATATTAAAGATTTGAGGGCTATGCGTGTAAATATGAAAGTTTGGGTATGAGATATGTAAATACAAAACCCTTAATTTTTTTCTTCATCATGTTATTCTTCCTTCAGCTTTTTGATTTGGAGATTTATTTTGTCGTGTCCGGATAGGTTTTGTTGAGCCCTGGCATTAGGACTTTTTATGTATTCAATTGTAGCTCTTAACATCTGGGGTTTGTTTTGTGATTTCTTACTTAATGTCAGATAAACAATTCATTTGTGGGATGTTGTCATTTGCTTTGTTGTCCAAATATTTTGCAGAACTCCATTTCTTGGAAAGCTTCAACTCAAGCTTGCCTTGAAGGAGTTCTGCTGATTTTTGCTCATATAGCTCAATTATCTATATTTGTTAGCGGATTCACTTCGAAGTGGTAAGAGAATTATAATGTGGTTCTTCTCCTGATTTTTACATTTTTCAGCTGTTAGGCTACTTTTAGTTAACCGTGACAAGGGAAAGTTATCTGATTATTCTACTAAGCTTACTGATTGAGCTGCTGCGGTGTAGGTTTGATTTTCTGAATTTTTGGCTCTGCTTCACCATTTTGTTTTGCCCCAGTATGAACTATGTATTAACATCCTTCTATGATGTTAAAAACGAGAAAAAAAAATTGCAGATTTTGCCTTGTTTGTTGATTCAATAATTTTTTCTATTGATTTGAATTTCTGGCCGATTGATTACACTGATTAAAACAGACCAAAAAAGGCTTCTGAGCCAAATGTGCTTTGAGTTTGGTGTTGCTTTAAAGTTCATGCAAGTTGTTGTGACTATTATGCGGGAGATATTTTTTGGGAAATATACGTACATGCCACATCATTCTGATTTATTTACGTATATAAAACCTAAATTTCAATATTTACTTCTATAACACTCTGTTGTCATTAACCTATCCGTGAGAAGGTGAATTGCACTTTTAAAAAGCAAGAAATGATGATATTTTTTATGTTAGGTTAAAGAATTAAGTGTTATGCATGTAAATATGAAACTTTAGGTGTTAGATATGAAATTGACAAGAATAGTGTGCTTACCATGTAAGTGCACCTATTATTTTTTGAATTGAGAGTATTAACATTCAGGCAATGTGAAAAAGAATTTTTCCAGCGAGGGCTTGATTAAGGATGAATAATGAACGAGGTTTTGAATCTGAATTTTTCATTGAGAAGGATAGAGAAATTGATATGATCCGCTTTTTCAGAGATGTTTTATGTGTTATCTTCATGGGACCAAGTTTTGCAATTTTGCATGAAGTTGCAACAAATTTGCTACTTGACATTGGACAATTTGCAGCCCAAGCAACTTCTGTTGTTACTTGGGAAAAATATTTAACTTGTTCAGCTCCATATTCATCATCCCCCTTCAGTCTTCTTTCTTGGATTCATAAAACATTGTCTTGAAAGAATATGAATGTTTATTTACATGTTATTATCAAAGTTCATGCTGTCCAATAAGCAAGCAATTAAAGTTTTTGCTGAAATGGTATATTTTTTGGCAATATTAGATTCAAGAATACAGAAGGTTTCATCCATTGAAACCTAGAGATTATGAGATCAAATGTCAAAAATAACCTCTATGCAATGCTAGGGTAGTGCTAGGGTAATGTTGCATGTATAATGCCTTCCGAAACCTCGCATTGATGGGGTTCCTATGCATTTGATTATTTTTTACTTCACATTGATGGGATTATCATGCATTGATTATTTTTTTTCTTAAATATGTGTTAGAAGATGGAATGTCCTTAATGGTGTATAAATTAAGTATAGATTATTTAATTTCATCTTACCATTATGTTTTGTAATAATCATTGGTTTCATTAAGTTAAATAGGTATTTTGCATTTGCAATCATGATAAATGATTGGAGTATTGACAAACATGTTTAGATTATTTTTGTTAAAACTTGCAATTTGATATTATTTTTCTTTCTTACAAATAAAAGCATTACTGGCATAAAAAAGCTCAATATAGTTGATCCTTTTAGAACAACTTCTAATGTATTTGCATTGTAGTGCTAAATCGGACATTCTCAATTTAGCTAACATTTTCAGGATGATTTGTGTAAGATTTATTGTAATTCTGTTTTTACTCAAGTTTGTCATTTATTGAAGGGCTTTCTTTAGCAAGTGTAGTTTTGTTATTTTATATGTCAACTAAGGTATTTCAACTTTTTGGTTTGACATAAGATGATCCAGATTGGGTGCGAAAAGGTTTTGAAATTTTGTAATCTTCATCACCATAGTTTATTATTTTGTCTACTCTGTTCAAGCTCTTCCCTTAAACATTTTCATATCTTGTGTTTTGTTCATTTATTGGTTTGTTTGTGGGGCCTTCATGTGAAACTAAATCATAAAACCCGTACTTTAGATTTGCAAATAATGCCAAAAAGTTATAAGAAGTTACAGTACCTGAAGTGCAAAAACAAATATATTAAGAATTTAGAGTTTTAAACAAATGTTGATATCTAATTACATCCAACCAAAGCATCAAAATTTTTTCGTTTCATTAAACATGATTTCTATTTTTGCAAGAAACCAAATTAGTCCTAATTGTAGGTTAAAGCATTTCCTTGATTGTTCAACAACAACAACAACGACATGCCTTTACCCCATTAAGTGGGGTCGGCTACATGAATCCTTTTTCTACATTACGTCCAATTGTGTGTCATATTTTCATTTAGTTCTAATATAGCTTCTTTTGTGTCACGTTTACATTTGTATGATTGTTGATAGGGGTATAAACGAGCTAAACACGACCAGCTCGGGCTCAGCTCATGTTAGGCTTGTTAAAAAATACTATTGTTCGTGTTTGGCTTGTTTATATTTCGAACTCAAAAAATTTGTTGCGTCTGGCTTGTTTGCTTAGCGAATGAATCGAGCACGAGCTTCTAAACGAGCCGAACATTAACTGTTAACGAGCAATGAGCATTTTTGACAATCCTGATTGTTAAACTTTTAAAATTTGGCCGCATTTGTAAAAGGGTATCTGATGAATAATCCTTTAAAACAAGCTTTCCTTTATGAGTTCATATATATGCATTTAACAATACTATCCACAAAATAAAAGAAAAGGAAAACTAATTACTCTCACAATATTTGTAATTTCATATCTATTGTGTGGTTTTATCCAACCCGTCAATAATTTTGTGAAATATTTACATTCCATTCTAATAGATATGCTTTTTTAGAGTTGTGTTGTTTCATCAAGAGTATTAAATATAAATTGATCTCACTCAGGCATGTTTAATACCATGTTTATTGCAGAATTATGTGCATGGTGGGCATTGATTTAACTATTTAAGCATTCATTTTTTTTCTTGTTTAGGTGGATAGAGAATCCATTATTAAAATATTGCATTTTAAGTGTATGGTAAGTCATCAATTTCTTGATACTAGGGATTGATAATTTTTTATACAAGAAAACTTTGGCACATTTCCATAGATACCATCCAATTTCCATGTATTTACATATATGTCCTAAACTTTACTTTCTTACATTTGTACCACCCAAATCTTTCATACCGCATCAAACATATTACCATTTTAACTTTTAAAGATAGGATTACACATTTTCATCCATAGGTAGGGTGGCATGTAGGTAAAAATTGAAGTCTAGGTGTCAGATATGTAAATACATAGGAATTGAGTGGTATGCATGTAAGTTTTCCCAATAACTTTTTATCTTTTATTTTCTTGATTTGTGCTATTTATATGCTACTGGTGGAATGAGACACTGGCAGGAGTAGCACTAAAATCTAGTTTCTAAGCTGTACGCTTTCTCCCAACGATTGGAAGAGCAAAAGAACTGGCTACAAATATGCCCATTGAGAAATGAACTTTCTTTGCATGGAGAGCGTTAGAGCTCCCCGAGAAAAGATTCTCTTCCCCGCTCATCCGTCATGCCCAAAAAAAAAAAAAACAAATTATATATATATATATATATATATATGAACTATTTTTTATATTGATCATGGTTTTACTGGCTTGTAGATTATGATGGAAAGGGATACAGGACGACCTCGTGGATTTGGATTTGTGACTTTTTCTAATAGACGTGCGATGGAGGCTGCTATTAGTGAGATGCACAACAAGGAATTTGGCGGCCGACAAATATCTGTCAACAGGGCCGAGCCAAAGGCGACTTCCGATGATACTGGTTATGGCTACGGTGGTGGGGGATACTCTTATGGCGGCGGCAGGGGAGGTTATCGTGGCAATGCTGATGATTCGCCACCCGTTGGCCTTTCCGAGTGCTTCAAGTGCGGGCGTTCAGGACATTGGGCTCGTGAATGCACTTCAGGAGGTGGAGAAAGATTATCATCCCGTTCTCGAATCGGAGGCAGCCGCGGAGACAAACTTGAAGGCGGAGGGGATCGTTATGGCGAACGTTACGCCGATGATAGGTATGATGGCGGACGCTATGATGGCGGTGGGCGATATGATGGAAGCCGTTATGCAGACCGTGATCGCCTCGATAGTAGGGATGGCAAACACGGTGGTGGTGGTCGTGGTGGTGGTTATGCAAGCAATCGTTATCCACCTGATGGAGATCGTTTTTCTAGTGAAAGGTACGGCGACAGAGTGGACAAATACTCATCCAATGGATACAACAAAGAAAGGAGATTTGACGGAGATAGGGGGCTACATGCTCGTGGTGGCAGGGGTGGCGGTGACAAGTATTTTAGTGGCGGACCTACACGATATGATGGCGGCGGCGGCGGCGGCTATCGAGAGAGACCTGGGCCGTACGATCGGCCCAAGAGGGGCGGTCCTCCTCCATCCTTGGATGAGCGGTACTAAATCCTTTTGATTATAGAGAAGGGCTTGTCTGCTTTTACTTTATTTTTGTTTAGTGTTAGTTGCTGGACTTGCAGTAGTTTATTGTATCTGCCTTGTAGGCGGCTGGGCAGAAACTATTTTTCTATTGTTACTAATGTTCTACTCTGCTACAATTTTTATTCTCTTTATTGAATTCCCTTTTTGAACCAGATTTTTTACCAAGCAAATGTTATGCGCATTGTAAATATTATTTAAGGAAATTTATGTGCATACACACCGCACAATTTTTATATATTTATGTATATAACCCCAACGTTTTATATTTACATTTAATAGGATTTAACTTATAAAAATATATTGATGGTAATATTTTTGGCATGATGTTAAAGATTTGAGTGGTGCTAATATGAATATTTAGGTGTTAGGTATGTAAATACATAAGAATGTAAAATACATTTAATTATTTTAATTTTTTAATTCAATTTTATAAATAATGTAAACTCAATTCTACTGTGCTATTGTTAGCAGTTTAATATATGAAATTTGAATTTAAGTGTGTTATAGTCATTATGTTTTATGATTGGAATTTAACGTGTAAACTTTATATTTTATTGTGCTATAATTATTATAGTCGTAATGTAATGCATCAAAATTTTATAATGCTATGTTAATATGTTATAACTTATTTTAAATCATATTTGAATTTTGTACAAATATTTTTTTAAACTTTGTTCTTATCTTGCCCAAATAAGATATGATGTTAAAATTCAACAAAATTTAACTTTAGTAATATTTGAATTATTTTAGCTAATTCTTATGCTTCAATGAGCACTACATAATTAAAATAGTAGTTTTAAATGAAAGAAAATTTTATACTTATTTCTTAAGAAAATGCAAATGATCATAATATTTTTCATAAGTAAATGTATTGTGAGATATGGAATATTACAATTTATTATTAATATAGAAATTATATATTATTTCTCGATTAAAACATGATATAATTTTAATCATGAACTTGGTTTCATATAATGTAAAATAACTATTTTTAAATATATTGAAGTAATGGTAAATTTATTTTTACGTGCAACAGGAGTAACTATGGACGTACGCTCATAAAATTTTGTGTAAAAACTAAATCATAACCTGTTTTGACTAAAAAAAAAAGAAATTTTAAATTGTATAAACATCATACTAACCGTGAGTTGAAAAAAAAATCCATTAACATATGCCAATGAATGATTTCACCTTAATTTTGTGACGACGACATTCACTTGATCATAAGAAACTCACAAACAGCAGCAGATCAATTAAAAGAAAAAAATAATGTACATGTTCAACAAAAAAGTGTAAAACTCTTTGGGCACACTAAAGTTGTTCGAGTGAAAAATAAGTGTGCTAATAAAACTTTAAAAACAGTACATCAAAGGGCATAAAATACTCCCCGGATGAAACCTTCACTAGGTCATTCAATATTTGTATCGCAGATACACTGCACGAGGGAGCTTTATCTCAGTGGACTGGTTCTCCTTTGTTGGTCATGCCTATCAGTGATACAACTTGGCCGGAGTTTAAACTTAATTCCTTCTTGCCCACCCTGAATACCCTTTATTCTACATCCCAACAATTTATGATGTACAGTGTTAGGACATTACCTTGCGGATATGGAGCCAGATTGAAAATTTGAAGTACATTTAAATCTTCTAGGGTGCTCACAATTTTCTCAAATAGGGTATGTTTGAAAAAAATCAAAAACAGGTCTTACTACAGATGGTCGACAACTACAATTGAACATCCTTAGGTTCAAAAACCTATATAAAAAGACAATGCAAAAAAGACATTTTGTTAATGTCAACTGCGTCTATAGTGAAACCACTTCAGTACCTAAACATGAGTGCAACAATAAAATAACAATAGTACAAATTGCAAACCAATACCATGATAACAATAGCTGAATAACACCACTTCAATACCACAAAATCACACAATACAACCAAATCACCACCTTAATAACATCAAAATACAAAGTAGATAATAACATCAAATCAATAACAGAATAACAACAAAATATGTTCATGATAAAACGTAGATATCATCACAATAACACTAGAATAACACCATATTACCACCAAAATGATCCTTTTATTTAAATTAAAATGAAATAACACCTCATCAGCAACAAAATACCATCAAGTTGCATTTACAATAACATCATCACCACAAGACTACCAAAATCAAACCATTATCACCATAATAACAGCTCAACTGAAATATGACTGAGATACCACCATAATAAATCCATATTAGCACCTCTACACAATCAAATCACCATAAAAAACATACATGAAAAAACCAATTCAACATCAAAATTACACTATATTACCACCATAATAACAACAAATCAACACCAAAATAAATCAATATAAACCCTAATAAACAAACAAAATAACATCCATTATACACCACTAAACAATCAGGATATCAAAAGAAAACCCTAATTAAAACACCAAATTACCCACATGATAACACCATATTACTGCCTCAATAACACAAACTTAGCTGCATAATACTACCAAATTTTCCTTTAGAATGTCATATCATTTCCAAAGTAAAATCATTTTACTTCAGAACAACACTAAATGTGGTTGTACTGTGGTGTTATTAGTGTGATTGTAATGTTGGGTTAATTGTGTGGTTGTATAATGGTGCTATTAGTGCAATATTATGATGTATTGTGATACAAATGCAGTTGTATTGCAGTGTAATTGGTGCAATTGTATGGTGTTATTTTCATAAAAATGTTGTTGTATAATGATGTTATTAGTGTGGTCGTCTTGTGGTGTTAATAGTGTGGCTATATGGTGATGTTATTAGTGTAGTATTATGGTGTTATTGTGAAACAAAGGTTGTTGTATTGTGGTGTTATTAGTGTGGTTATGGTGTGAAGTTAATAGTGTGGTTGTATATTAGTGTAATTAGTGCAGTATTATGATGTTATTGTGATAAAAAATGTGACTGTATTGTGGTGTTATTCGTGTAATAATATGGTGTTATTGTTATACAAATGTAGTTATATAGTTGTGTTATTAGTGTGGTTGTCTTATGGTGTTAATAGTGTCGTTGTTTGGTGGTGTTATTAGTTTAGTATCATGGTATTATTAGTGTGATTGTAATGTGAAGTTAATAGTGTGGTTGTATGATGATATCAGTATTATTGTGTTATTGTGATACAAATATGGTTATATTGTGGTGTTATTTGTGAAATAGTATGATGTTATTGTCATACAAATGTGGTTGTGTGATGGTATTATTAGTGTGGCTATAATGTCGTGCTAATAGTGTAGTTGCATGGTGGCGTAATTAGTGTGGTATTATAATGTTATTGTGCTACAAATGTGGCTATATTGCGATGTTATTAGTGTGGTTGTAATGTTGGAATAATAATGTGCTTGTATGGTGACACTATTATTACAGTATTAAGATGTTATTGTGATATAAATGTGATTGTATTGTGGTGTTATTACTGTAATATTGTGGTGTTTTCATCATACAAATGTAGTTGTATAGTGATGTTATTAATGAAGTCGTATTGTGGTGTTAATAGTGTGGTTGTATCGTGGTGTTATTTGTGTACTGTTATGATGTTGTTGTGATACAATTGTGATTATATTGTGATGTTATTAGCGTGATTGTAACGTGGGGTTAATAATGTGGTTGTATAGTGGTGTTATTAGTGCAATATTGTGGTGTTAATGATACAAGTGTAGTTGTATTATGGTGTTATTAACATAATAGTATCATGTTATTGTCATACAAATGCAGTTGTATAGTAGTATTATCAGTGCATTCATATTGTTGTTTTAATGGTGTGATTGTATGGTAGTGTTATGAATGTAGTATTATGGTGTTATTGTGATACAAATGCGGTTGTATAGTGATTTTATTCGTGTAGTCGTATTGTGACGTTAATAGTGTGGTTGTATAATAGTGTTATTAGTGTAATATTATGATGTTATTGTGATACAAATTTGGTTTTATTGTGATGTTATTAGTGGTTGTAATGTGGGGCTAATAGTGTAGTTGTATAATAGTGTTATTATTGTAATATTATGGTGTTATTGTGATAAAAATATTGTTGTATTGTGATGTTATTAGTGTTGTGGTATTGTAATATTATGACGGTTTAATGAGAATATTCTACTATTTCGCTCGTGATATAGTTAATATAGTCAAAATCGTAAATAGTAAACTTTTGAAAGCAACTTGAACCCACAAGTTCGATTTACTTGGATGTTGTCTATTGACTCTTTCACTTTCTATTTTCCTTGGCTTCTTTCATTCTTCTATGTTAGCTTACTTGAAAACTAAAAGAAAAATACACGAGCGAGTTCACACCTTAAACCCTAAATCTGAATGCAAGAGTTGTTTCATAAAAATCTAAACATCACAATAACTTATATGACGAGAGAGAGAGACTACGACTATTTCTAGTCTGACGATAGACAACTTCAAAGATTTAAAAACCTTAGCTATCGATATAGTAGATGAAAAATGCTCAGCGGAACCATAGGAAGAAATAAAAATAGAAGAGGTGTGCAGGATTTAATTTTGGAAGCACTGGGCCAACATGGGCCAAAATACACATTTATATTTTTATATTTTATTATTTTTAAAATTTTTAAAGTGACTCCTCCATTTTTTTTTCAGTGCCCTCTCTCTCCGCCTTCTCCGTTGTACTCTCCTGAAAAATTATTCTATCAGGACTCCTAACGTAGAGGACCGTTCGAAGTCCACTGATATGCGAACACGTGTCTTCAAGGAAACACATGTGTTTTCCTGTGATCTGATCCGGTAACACAGAAGAATATTTCTCCCGAGTTATTCCGCGTTATTCAGGTATTATAGTAGTAATATTGATGTGTTACCGCGTTATTATAACACCGGGAATATTCTAAGAACACAAACTAATTTTTTAATTTTTATTTTTCTCTCACTTCACCTGAAGTGATTTTATTGGACTCAGAATTTGTTCGTACTCTCCCCGCATCACTCTCTCTTCGATCGAGCTCTGCAATGGCGGTAAAGGGCAAAGGGAAGCAGATAGCCGGAAAAGCTCCGGCATCGTCTGCATCTTCCTCCGGTAAGAGGAAGAGCAATCCATTGGACGGAGAGAGCTCCGGTGTTCCGCCGAAGAAGAAACCTTCCGGCGTGTTGCGATTCGTCGACGAAGCCGCTGTTGATGCTGATTATGATGGAGAGAAAGAAGAAGAAGATGATCTCGAGTGGGAAATCGACGAGGACTTTGATTTTGGTATTGCGATGCTTGTCTCTAGGGTTTTACTTCCGATGCTTTCTTGAAATTGCCGGCGTGCTACTTCATTTTGCTTGGGTTTTATAGCATGCATGTGAATGTTTTGTGCAGGCATTGAGGACTCCGTTGGAGTTGTTGATGCTTGATTTGTTTTTTAGTTTGCATTTTACGAAAACCTAGGTTTGAATGTGAATCATATGATAATTCCTGAATGGTTTTACGTACCTATTGGCCTGCCTAATTGGGAATTTGAGGGAAATTATGACTCAGTTACGTTTATTTTGCTTCATTTTAGCTTCTCTATAAGTAAAGTAATTGCTGATGGAAGTTTGTTTCTTTTGAGATGTATGGATGATTTGCGGGTTAGAGTTATTTCTGCTTCGTCTCTATGCCTATGTAACCTTTTGCATTTCTTCATCGAAGCAGTTCCAAAAAAAAAAAAAAAATGCATGATTAATTGATTCGGATGATTCATCATGGCCACGGAAGGATAATCCTTGCCCTATCACCCAATTCTTATGTATTTGCATATCTAACAAATTTATACGACTGAAGTCTTTCATATCATTTGAAAAATATGACTTATTCACTGTTTTAATTTTTTAAATGTGAAATACACCATTCCATACATATGTAAGGTGGTATGTATGTAAAAATTGAAGTTCAGGCTTTAAATATGTAAAAACATTATAATTGAGTGGTATGCATGCAACTTTCTTTTTTTTAATACAATATTACTTTCTGTGCAATAATTTACTGCCTTGTTTCATAAATCTGACTCAGCTGTTAACTAGACTACCAAATCTAACAAAGAAGATAGTATTATCTTATATTACCAGATGAAATACTTTAAAATTTGAATTTCGAGCAATTGTACCAAATCTCTCATCAAAATTAGCTTAAACCAACCTTGATTTCTTAGTTAATCCATTAACCCAATCCCAATGTAAATCTACTCAAACTCAGTAAACTCAGCAATCCACAGCCTTGGAATCCAGGTTAATTCAGTGAACCAAATCAACCACAAATTTTGTTCAAATTTATTCATTAAGTTTGCCCCATTCTTCTTCCTGCCTGCTACATGCCAGCCCAAATATTCCGTGCTAAAAGTTGATGAAGTTTGTCCTAAATATTTCATTAAATCACGCTGCCATCCAGTTCTAAACTACATCAAAATTAGCCCCAAATAGACATGACAGCAACTCAAGTTCAACCATTAAATCAATATCAAACTTATTGGAATCCTGCATCAAATGATTATCAATGTCTTAAGTAAATTGGCCACCAAACCTGCCCTTATTTAAAATAGAATATGCTAAATCCATTGATTTCAAATGCTGTTTAAATCCCACTACCAAGTCAATACTCAACTTGTTAATACCTTGCACTTGAATTATCCTCAATTCAACAAAATCAATAATTTGACACAGCATCAAGCTTCACTCTATTACTGTCTAATGTTCAAACCTATCCTAATTCTTATTCAAGAACTTAATCCAAGCCACTCAATAGCCCACTGAACTTATAGTAGCAAGCTACATAATTGCTCTAACTACTTGGACGCATGGCTGCACATTATTGGAAGCTATGGAAGGAATTTGGGAAGCAATGGAACCCTTGAATTTGAATTTCATAATTTCAGCAAGCCTTATTTAGTTATTTCCCAATGCTGAAGCGAAGTTGGAGAAAGACGAGGATTACCTTCCTCTATGTTTTCAGATAGGAGAGGAACAAAAGGATGAGAAATATGGTTCAGAGGCCTTTGTACACTGATTCCATTGTTGCCTTCCGAGCTAGCTTTGCCGATCGAGGAAACCGGGAGTTGGGGATTGGGGTTTAACACCGTCTCTTTGAGCAGAAGATCAGCGATGGGGCACCTGTTCTAGAGAGAAGTTGAGGAGCCAATGTGTTAGTGAGGGAGAACGAGGAAGGGCGTGCAGAATCTTGCGCAAACCGTGAAGCCTATGGTAGCTCTGTGGAAGAGCCGTAGACGCAAGGCAACCTAATGGGCAAAGTAACATTTCTTTCTGCTGGTTATTTCTTCTATAAAACTGCTTTGTTTTATGTTTGCTAACTCTGAATTTGGAAAATTCTGTCATTTTAAGTCACATTTTTTGCGTCATTTCGCCTTTTTGTTGGATATGAAAATTTTCTTTACCATGATATTATTTGGTTTCTAATCTTTCAGATATTGTTTGCAATGCAATGCATGTCATGATTTGCTGGTAGACATAGGATTACATGGAGTGAAGAAAGATGCATATTTGTAGCTTTTATTTTTTCTTAATGAATTTAATATTTATGTGTATCCAATGGTTTTTATGCCTGCTAATGAGAGCAGGTGCATTACTTTGCTATGTATGAGGGTTCATCCACCTCTACTGCTGACAACCTCTTGAGGATAATTTTTTTTCAACTTATTAAATCCTTGTTGGCCATTCTTTTTATGTGCATATTGGTATAATCTAATTTATGAAAATTTGGTTAAATTGTTTCAAGTCTTGTTTAATTTGGACTTTATATTTTCTTTCTTTTGCACTTTCTGGAGCTAGTGTTTATTGTTTATCTCAATCATATATGCCCAAACTATTTAAGTCTTTGTTATAAATTTACAGTGTTTATAAATTTCAGCTTTTAGTGGTTTTCACTGATGAACGAAATGTCATGTGATCTTTTTTGTGTCGGCGCTTTATTATACTTGATTCTCTAATGGAATTTGGCAATGCGATTAGATCAATTTCAAAATATGTTATCAGTTGATACAAACTATTTAAAATTCACACTTGCATCCATACATCTTATCATATTGTCTTACATAATGTACAGATGCAATGACTTCCATGTTCACATTCTTTCTGCTGAACTAGTTTATTTTTAGGTGGTTTTCTCTACTTAGCGCTGTTTATTGTCACACATTTGATTTTGTTTTTTGTAATAACTCTTCTCTTTTACAATTGAGATGTGAACTCTTCCCAAGGTTAGATATTGAGTGTTTCTTTAATAGTTTGAAAGTGCGCTGTTGTTGGTTTTTATCAAGGTGAATTATGAACTTTATTCATGTTAATTGTGCATGTTTGTGTGCGTTGACCTTGGAGTTTGACAATATTTCTGGACCATGGGTCCAATTGTAATTTTGTATGATTAATGGCATTCAATAGGACATCAATTTTATCCCCTTCATCCGCATCTTCATCAAAATATGCACATCTACTTTTTGTGTTTGTGCATAATTTTGTTTATGTGGGAGTATTTATAGAGACCCCAAGGTTCTATTTGTTTTGAAATAATTTGAGGAAATGCAAAAACATTTCACTTTGCAAATTCATTTTGGTGTTTTCTTTCAATGTAACTAACAGGCGATTAGATTTATATAAGAAATGTAAATTGATCCTTTTTTTTTTTCTAGTAGTAATTCCTTATACCCAACCCTAGTGAAAAGTAAGAAGAAAATTTTTTTGCGGCATCTCTCTGATTCATAAGTCCTATTATCATGGAGAATAAAAAGTAAATTTGTCATCAACCGAACAATAACAAAAAGTAAGAAAAAATGTTTTCTCCTTAAACAACAAGTTGGTGACTCTTTCAATTCCATTTAGTCAAATAGATCCTCTCGAGTCTCTTTGATCTCTTTGGTTACTGATGCGTGCTAGAAGATTCACGGCTGTAGAGTATTGAATTATTGTCTTAGTGTTGTACGAGAATTAAACACACATTTTGATAAAAGAAATAACCTATAGAGACACTATAAGTTTTTATGTGGAAAACTAGAAAAGTGAAAAAATTCACGGGACCTTGCTTAGTTGAATGCTGCAATATGAATTGGTGATTACAGGTACATTCCCTTATCCTACAGGTGGGAAATAGTTACACAATTTCTTGAGTTACAACGTTCATGCGCAAAACTTATTTTATTGTTTCTCGGATTGGACAAAATTTGGTATCATTAGGTTGTCTCGTCACACTTGTTAGGTTGAATGTGTTTTTGCTCAAATCAAAGTTAAAAAATTTCTTACTAAAAAAAGTGCCTCGAAATTCGTGCTGGATAATGAAAATCTGTTCATGCTGTATTGGTTGCCACGTATTTTTCGGGCAAAACCAACTTCATTGTTCGAAAATATCATAATTCGGAGTACTTTATTTTTATCATTGTATCATTCGCACGCGTGTATAACATATATATATATATATATATACATATATATATATATGTATACACACATATATACATATATACGTGTGTGTGTGCGTGTATGTGCGCACGCGCCGCAAGTCTTGTCCTGTTAGTGGCGGGGTCACTGTAAGTCCCCTCAGGTCAATGTTTCGATCCCACTGTGACGCGGGAGCTCTGAATTTTAGGCACATGACGCAAACTCTCATCATGGGGCCAAAAAATGCATGAGAAATTGAAATTTGGGCCTATAAAAAGGGGCGCTATGGGTGAGAGAAGGAAGGGGATTTAAGAGGGATAAGAAGGAAAATCAGCCCAAGGAGCAATAGGAGAGGAAGAATAAAATTGCCTTCGACCTTCCTACCAGACGATCAATGGGATCTATTTTCTCGTTGGTGTGAAGAAAAGGGCGTCTGTCCCCTACTTGTCTAGAACATGATCAACGAGATACCCTTTTTGCATTGCTCTTGCGGAGGAAGTATAAATGTGTCCTCGAACTGCCTAGCAGACGATCAATATTTCTCCTTAAGCATTGTTGTTGTGCTTGCTGAAGTGGGTTTTACGTTTTGCTGTTGAGCTTTCTAGAGGAGGGTTTCTGTGCCGTTGCGGTGAGATCTGGAGGAGATTTTCATCATTGGTGGGATGCCCAAATATGGGGTGCTGAAAATTTGAGGAAGCTCCAGAATCCGAAAGAGTTGGTGTCGAATCTAATAAAGGATGACCTAATTATGTTTCGGAAGAAGTATTATTTCCCGAACAATATGATGGTGAAGCTATCGACCTTAATTGACCTAGCATATTCTCCTCTTTGACGTTGCTATTTTGAGGCGAC